TACATTGGATTATTTTGATAAATTCACACACCTACAATATTTAAATGGCAATGGAATACTCATCTCTGACAAAACTAAACAAAGAAGGGGATACAAATGAAGGACCATTTTGTATCTGTATATACAAAATAGTTAAGATAGATATACAGTTACTTTCTCTTAATGCAATGAGAAGAAAGATTTGTACTAATAGTGTTTGGACAGGACAACATGTGTGCATCTTGTACTATGAATAACCACTATGAAGACAATAATATGCAATGTATTAATTATTGAAACTGTCCTGTTAATCGGTTTTGAGACTGTCTCATTGCTATTTGTTTTTCAATAAAATTAATAAAAACTAAAACAATATAAATTAGTAGTAAAACTCAAAAAATATGCTGTATACAAGAAACACACTTAACTCATAATATAAACAAGATTCTTAAGGCAATGGTCCTAAGAATCTCTATCAGTGTTTTCAAAATAGCAGTTAATGGGAAGAATTCTCACCCTGACTAACTATACATGCTGATATCTGTGCACTAAGCAATTAAACTGAGGATAGCAATGTGTAATACTAAAACCGTGCTTCAAATACCTATGATTTTGGTCTTCTAAATACATACTGCTTCTAATGTCATATCAATTATTGCTATACTCTCTTTAAAGTAAGTATTTGTAAAATAAAAAAGGTAATAAAAGAAAACAAGAGACAAAAAATGTCAAAAGGGTTGTACTGCTACAATGTTGTATATGGCTTGATATCTAAATTTTTGTGTAAAAATGTGTAATTTTTCTTAACATTCTATAAGGATTTAAAGTTTAGAATATCCATGGTTGTTGGAAAATAGCAGTTCCATGTTATGTCTAAGGCATTTGATATTCAGACAGATAGTGATGTTAAGCTCAGTTGCCTCCAGTACAGGGTAATAATATTAAGCTTCTCTTCTGGATGTTTAGCAAGTAAAATTTGCAGACCATAAATTAGAGAAAAAGAAAGTTTACAAGGATAGCCAATATTTTGGCCCTAGCCTCTATAACAAATGGTGCTGGAAAAATTGGCTCTCCACATACCGAAAACTAAAACTAGACCCAGGTCTATCACCATGCATTAAAGCCAAAATGTATCAAATACCTAAACACTAAAACAGAAACTCAAAATCTACTGGAAGAGAAAGTAGTTGGAAATCTTGACGCTATAGGTGTAGGCAAACATTTCATGAACAAAAATCAAACTACAGGGCTGCGGAGATGGTTCAGTGGAATAAGAGCTTCCCTGGCAAGCGCAAGGGCCTGAGTTCAATCCCCGGTTCCGCAAAAAAAA